CTACCTCTCACTCCTATCCTACCTCTACCTCTACCTCCAATCTATCATATACTATTATCTATCTACATCTATCTAGTTATCTATTCTTTATACTAATCGTATCTATCTTTATCATACTATCGGATCGATCATATCATACTTATCTATATCTACCTCTACCTCTATCTATCTATCTATCCTATCTACTCCCTATCCTATCCACTTTCCACTTTCACCTACCCTACCTATCACTACCCATATAACCTACCTCACACTCCACTGCTCTATCTATCTATTAATCTATATCTGCCTGTCAAATCGCTTCTGAATCATCGTCCCTGCGCCCGCGCTTATGACTCGTACCGCCGTTAGAGCTAAACATAAATAAGAAATCATTGCGCAGTGTACAGGTCACGTCCCAAGTCGCCGTCCAGCAGACGCGCACGTTAAACACCGAAGCAACTGCGAGTAACATGCGAGAATATTGGAAATGACTTTTTTACCATCCATTGTAATATATGTACACGCCGTTTACATCCGAAGAAGGAGAGAGCGTATATGGGCGGGTGCGCTACGGTATATACATATATATCAGGGGTTAATAATGACAAAATTTGTCATTTTTAACCCCTGATATATATAGATATATATATTGCCGCTATTGCGACCTATGCGTCTCGGTTTATTGTATTGCCGGACACTGCGCATAATGCGATCGAATGATTAACGCGAGTGAAACTTACACAGGCTCGGAGACGGATGCCGTTTCGACTGTTTCTTTCTTCTCTCTCGTTTCGATCGTCGGATGCTGGATTCTGCTCACGTCATCTGGTGCGTCGGCAGCAGGTGAACAGCGATCATCTCCATCTCTCGGCGTAGCCCTCATCGCCGACGGCGCGTGCTGAAGCAATAGATATGGCTTCACCTGATGTTCGGCTGAGGCCAGAAAGCGCGTATCACAAATCACGAACTGGCTTTCCTCGGATGTGGTCAAGCCTGTGGTTGAAAGTAAGCTTCGGGCCACGCGCTATACTATTAATAAATTGTCTCAGCTAAGGAGGATTAGGAATATCGGTATTATTTGTAGCTACGCACGATTCGCCTGCACTTCGCGTCCGACCGTGTCGAAACTAGTGCGCGCGTATAAAAGGGATTCGAATTTCCGCCGCCTTCCCGCCGAAGGAATTACGAACGGATTCCCGGAATTTCACTCAAATTTCACGGACGCTCGCTCGTGGATACTCAATCCGCATCGCACAGCGCGCAGTCGCAGCAGCTTCCTTGCGCGAACCGACTTACTTCGTCGGAATGAAGCTGTCCTGCGTTCTCCCCCGGGAGGAAGCGCACTGTGCGAGGCAGGCTGCAGCGTAGGTCGCTTTATTATTGTCTAAAGGTTCCTAAGTCCGATTGGATCGCTGAGAAATACGGAGAGCGTGCGAGAGAGAAGCCCGCGAGCTTTGGCGCAGAGCGGCTTTCACTGATTACGCCCGCGCGCGCACCGGCGCTGCTGCTTACAATTCTCTCGCGGAGGAAGAAAATCCCAGCGGATGCGTCGAAGCTTATTTCAATTATCGACCCGGCAAACACCTTCACATGTACCGTGGTTAATTTTGCTTGCGTTTGTGTTGTGCGTGGGTAAGCGTGTTTTCATACGTGCATCTCTCTCTTTCTCTCTCTCTCTCTCTCGCTCGCTGTGTGTGTGTGTGTGTGTGTGTGTGTGTGTGTG